AGCTAAGATTATCGCCCAAACATTCACGATGGTATTGATACTCCTCCTTGGGTATCGGTACCCCCTCATATGGCATCGATACTTCCCTGAGTACCAATATCAAATTTACATTCGATGTTTAAAAAAATATATCTCAGTATCGATACTCCCATGAGATTATTGATATTCTTCCTCTTGGGTATAGATACTCCATTGAGTAGCGATACCAAAATTGCCTTCGATATTTTGAAAAATACCTTGGTATCGATACCCCTATGGGGAGTAACGATACTCTAGCCTCGATATCGATACTCCATACCAAAATTGTTTTCGATGTTTCTAATCAAGACCCCAATTATCGATACTAGGCCCTAAGTATCGATACCACCTGAGTAATATCAATACTCCTTGATGGGTTATTGATACTCTCCTCATAAACCTTTTTGAAGTTTTCCTTTACACTACCGATAGTACCAGTAATGTTATTACGATACCAATACCCTCTTCCCAGAAAACTCTATTTCACTTGTCTAATCATTCCTAAAGTGTCCCCAAAGGCTCCTAGTGGTGTTTAAAGCTTATTTAGTACTTAAGGAACATGAAAGGTCAATACTTTACACATGAATAACAAAACTACACATGATCTACAGGCAGAAAATTAATATTAGAAATGTGTTACCTTACACCTAGGAGTTGTAGGGTTACCTTCATGCTCACCCAATTACTTCTTTCTCCTTACCTTCACTTTTGAGCTTTATCCCACTTCTCTTACTCGAAGGCTTAAAAAGAGTGAAAACATGACTCTCGACTCATTTGGATCACCCAAGAGCTCTCTAATCCCAAGACCCTTCTAAAACCCCACCCAAGGTTTTCCATTTCCAAAACTTAAAATAAAGAGCTTGAGAGGAAGCTAGAGAGGTGAAGATCGCCTTTCATGCTCAAATTAAAAAGACCCCTTTTAAGCTTTGATGGGCTCAAGCCTAAACTATAACAAGCCAAATTTTAACACAATACTTCTAAATGGTATCTTGGCCTAATTTAAAATCCACTCGATTTACCCGAAATTATGAACCCAAAAATTGTGGCTTTACGGTTTAATAAAACTGGTTACATTGTTTGATAAATCAATTTTTGGATCTTGGAAATTATAAATTTTTAATTTTACGAATACAATAACAAATTAATAAATAATTAGTTATAAAATAATTTATGAATGATTTTTTTCATAAAATTTTGATTTTATTTTTAAAAATAATTATTTTCATATATTTTTAAAAAAATCTAATTTTCTAACTTATTTTCAAATCATTATTTAAAAATATTAAAAATATCAAAAATGAAATTTTAGTTATAATTAAGGGGTTTAAAATATGTTTCCTATCAAAAATGCCTTATAATATACGATTTTAACCATTTTTTTTTGGATTTGCCAAAATGACCAACTAATTCGTAACGCGATCTCCGGTATCGCATTTGTTTCTTAAATGAATTTTCTCTAAAAAGATAGTATTCGCGCGGACGTGTCGAAGACACGTATTACCACGACCACGACCACGACCACGACCACGACCACGACCAACGACCACGACCACGACCCCGACCCCGACCACAACCCCGACCCGACCCGACCCGAGACGAGACGGACGGCGGCTGCGGCGGCGCGCGAGAGTCCCCCTTGTTCTCTATCACTCAACAAGGAAGTGGGAAAGCCAAGCCTTAAATACCATTCCCAATAGTGTTTCCAATACTATGTGGGATTGAGCATTACCAATACTTGTTCCCAATACTATGTGGGATTGAACCTTAAATAGTGATATTATTTTTGAATGTTTTGCTTAAAATTGCAATAATCGCGATTGATTGTAGATTGACATTTAATTATGACATATTTAATCGTATAATACTAATGCAATTGGTTGCTGATTCAGTTGTTTTAAGGTGCATGATTGTTAATTGTTTCCTGAATAATCACATTGTATTGGAAACAAGTGTTGGTAATGCTCAGTCCCACATAGTATTGGAAACACTATTGAGAATGGTATTTAAGGCTTGGCTTTCCCACTTCCTTGTTGAGTGATAGAGAACAAGGGGGACTCTCGCGCGCCGCCGCCACCGCCGTCTCGTCTCGTCTCGTGGTCGTGGTCGTGGTCGTGGTAATACGTGTCTTCGACACGTCCGCGCGAATACTATCCTTTTAGAGAAAATTCTTAAGAAACAAATGCAATACAACCAGTCGTTGCGATTTTGGACTATCGCAATGCGATAGTCCAAGTTCGCATTACGATAGTCGACTATCGCATTGCGATTTACATATTCACATTGCGATAGTCCAAGTTCGCGTTGCGAATCTGGAAACTGATTTGCGATACCGGAGATCGCGTTGCGAATTATCGATCGCATTGCGATTCAGTTGGTCATTTTCGCAAATCCAAAAAAAGTTGATTAAAATTGTATATTATAAGTCATTTTTTGTCAATGAGGTTATTTTCTCTTTTAATAATCTCTTAAATTTAATATTTATTTTATAATTTTTAAAAATGTAACGACAAATAAAATTATTTAAATAATATTTCTTTTAATTACCGAGAATGAACGGAACTAAGGGGAGGGCAAGGAGACCCTTGGCCCCCGCTAATTATAATTTAATTATTATTTAATATAGAAAAAGTATATATATTTAAAAAAATAAAGAAAATTTTATCAAGTCCCCTCAATTTAAAAATTATATTTAGAAAAAATAAAAAATATTTTAACCGACTATAATAAATTCCTAATTTCATTCTTATTACCGAGTCTGATTGATAAGTTTAAATAAAATAAGGAGAGGTTTTTAAGGACACAATAAAACAAGGAAAGGGTTTTAAGAACCCTCCTGTGGGTATTGAAACCCAAAACGGTCAGTTTCGAAACCCTTATATCCATTATTGAAACCCAAAACGGAATTTAGGCATTAAAATTTTGCTTTTGAACCCCCTTCATCGATTTCGACACCATGTCAGAAAATTGGAAAATTACACTTGGAAACCTCCCAACCCATTAAAAATGATCCTCAAGTCATGTGCAACCACAAGATACAATTGTTCAGCACTGGGAACTCATTTAAAACATGTGTGGACTACCATACTTTCTGAGTCTTAAACTCAATGGTTAATCATAAAACACGCTTTAAAAGCCAATAAACTCAAATGACATTTAGGTTATGATTTCACCGTTATTCTTTATAAGAATCGATCGAATTAAGTCAAGTCAAAAATTTTCAAGTTATTCGAGTTAACAAATCTTATTTTATAACTCGAAGTTGACTTGAAATTTTTTTAGTCGAGTCAAATTTCTAAATTTTGAGTCGGATCGAGTCAAATTTATAAAATTTAAGTTGGGTTGAGTCGAGTTAAATTTTTGAGTTCATTTTTAAATTTAATTATAAACATTTATAATATTATGATATTATTTTATTCCAATTTAAATATTTTTATAGTCATATACAATATATATATATATATATATATATATATATATATATATTTTATATTTTTCATGTGATATACATATATTATACTAAGTCAAAAAACATATTTAGTCCATCTGTCATGTCATTATCCACGTCACCTGTCACTGTGGACTGCCACATCACATGTCACTGTGGACTGTCACATCATCACTATAGATCATCAAATCAGAACCCTAAAGTGTCTCATTAGCATCGTAATGGTCAACGATGGAAACCGTCCGTCAAAAGACCACATTGAGTGTAAAAAAATGTCGAAGGCCACAATGATTTTTCTAAACAAATGCAGGGACCTCAAGTATGCTTTTTCCTATAATTTATAAGTTATGTGTTTATTTATTTTACTAATCATTATTAACGTATTATTTTATATTAGTAGCATTTACCAAAAATAAATATGCAAGTAGTTAATAAAATTCAAGAGATTTGGTTTTAAAAAACTTTGTTAACAAAACCTATTACTTTATGTGTCCAACTTTTTTCTGTTTCCGGTAACAAAATATTTGACCAAACTTAGTTAACATTCACCAAACCGTTAAACGTGAAGTTCATTTATGTTATTTTATTTATTAAACAGACAAACATGAATAAGATTTTATGTTTGTTTAATTAAATGAACGAACAAGAACACATCTCGTTCTTTCATTTACGTTCGTGAACTCAGTAATTCGTTTGTTTATGTCCGTTTATGTTTGTTCATTTATGTTCGTTTATTTATGTCCGTGTATATTCGTTTATGTTCGTTTATTTATGTTAATTCATTTATGTTTTTGTAAGTTCGTTCTTTTATATTCAGCTCAATCTCCATGCCCATTTAAAATATTAAGATCCAATCATTAATATTTTAAAACCCAAATAATTTTAAACTCAAATCAATTAAAGAAAATATAAACCATACACATTTGAAACCCAAATAATTTTAACTCTGAAATTGTAAGTTGTATTAATGAATAATGAAGTTGTAAGTTATATTAATGAATAATGAATTTTATGTGGTTATTGTTGTGGTTTACATTCGTTTATTGTATTCAATTATATTCATTTGTTATGTTTGTGCAAGCTCTTTTATATTCATTTATTGTGTTCATTTGCATTCATTCGTTTATATTCATTTACGTTCATTTATTGTATTCATTTATGTTCGTTTATGTTTGTTTGTATTCGTTTATCATTCAAATGAACGAACAAGCTACATTCCTTAACGCGAACACAAACAAGAAATTTTGCGTTCGTTAATGTTCATGTTCTTCATTTATTAAACGAACGAACATGAACATACCACATGTTCGTTCGGTTCATTTACCGGCCTACAAAATATAGATAGCTAGAGATATCCTGTAACTTGTTACCTGACCAAGTGGTTTTTCCTTCTTTTTTAACCTTTTCATAGCTCTCTCCCTAGAAGTTCCCATGATCAAGTTTGTGGGCAAACGCTTCTAACTAATCAACACATGATTTCAGAGGAAACAGAAAGCAATTTCACCTTGTTTGCCATTTATTCTGAAACATGAAAATCGGCAAACTGTTCTGCTTGGTGAAAATTTAAGTACAACTATACGGATGATCTTTACGAACATCATAATCTCATGTCTCCCAAGACGACATGATGAAGTGGCCATGCACATTTGTTCAAAATGTTTGTTTCAGCAAAAAGCCCACAAGTTTACATTATTTTATCGCTGGGTTCCAAAAGTAAATGAAACACATGAAAGAACACAACGACACCATACGACTTTCTCGTACGAGTCAACCTATGGTTCTCCACCAAGCTCCACCCGTAGGTTGTCATATGGATAAACCTTAGGTGCCTAGTTAACAGTAGGAGAAAAAAATAAATCAGCATAAGTATCAAAATATGTAGCTAGCAACACAACTTTAAGAGTATAACAAACTAATTAATCCTATCAAGCAACGATAATTTTAAATCAAATTTAAGAAATGTAGAACAAATACACTTCTGTCTACAGACATTTGTGGATATGGAGGACACCTTACAAAACGCAGGTTGATGTCTCAGTAACAAAAGAAATTAAAATCCATATATGAAATAGAAAGATATAAATCTTCTAAAACAGAGACCACTCAACCAGATGCAGGCATTATTGATTAAAATTTTATCTGCCATATCTCAAGACCACAATTGGAGTATTATGAAAACAAAATATCTATTTGCCGGTTGGAGCAGAGAGCTTATGTTTGGCTGTTTTGTACTCACTATCCTAAAAGCGAAGGCATATCCACAGATTGTAATTATCATTTACAAACAATCCATTTGAGATATCTAAGGTGACATGGTAGTGCTCTTTCATCCCTCAAGTACAGGGATGAAGGGAAACTATCCTGCAAGTGCAAGTGCCTTTTGCGAACCCCAAAACATATTGTCAACTTTGCTAACTGAACATTTAATGAATATAAAACTCCAGCTAGTGGAACAGTAAGCCAGACAACCAAAGTAGTCCCCATTCCAAGGCAAGGGCTCATCTAAAAAATTCAATGTTAAACAGGAAACGCCATTTCTGGTTATGTTTCCCGATTCATTATAAAGGGAATCAAGAACCAAAGAAACGGATCTTACATCATGACCTTGAGCAATGTTCTTTCTTAGAGCTATAAAAGGTTGCTGAGAGCGGCCTAGAATCCTGAGTCCTAGACAAACAAATATCTTCAATTTTTAGTTATGACATGTATAGTCTACATAATTCAGATATCAGATCCCCAATTCTATGATCACCGCTGACTGGAGCATGGCATCAATTTTTCTTAGCAGACAACCAGCGTGAAATTAAGGTGCCATGGCATCTGATTCAATCAATAATATCCAACATTTCTACTTTTTCGAAATTTGAAGGATACCCAAAACACCACAAGCTACAAAATACAAATTACTATCACATGAAGAAATTCACGGGCTACAAAGAAAACTAAACTGAGCCAAGGCAAAATCAGAGTTTCTTTCTTATACTTACAAATGGAATTTTAGAGGCTTTATCATTCCACCAAGCTAATATTCCCAACGATGCAAAGAAGCTCAAACCTCCACACATCCAAGCCAATGCCTCGTACTATTCTCAGCAAATAAATAATAAAATGAAACATAAGAATAAGCAAGGGATATGAGAACAAAATCTCAATTTTTGCAAATAGTCCAAAATCACACTAGGAAAAATTTCCTACCTTTCCGACAGTATCAGCGATTCGATCTATGCAAGGTTCTGGGAAGGCGGTTCCATTGTCCCAAATTAGCTCGTCATTAACCGGAAGCTGAAGCGTAAAAAAAAAGTAAAAATATTTTAGGGTTTTCAGTTAATTGGTTGAATATAACCGATGAATTAATCGGAGGACTTATAGATTGATCAAAAGCTTACAGGCTTGTCCGGCACGATGTGTTTGCCAACAGGGAGACCCATGCCGGAACGAAGGCGGAGAGAGGAAGCAGCTGAGCGCGAAACGATGCCGTTTCCGCCCATGATCTTTGACGCTACGTTACTCAATCGTCCTGCCATTTTTACTCTTCTTCCTTCGCTTTCTTGAAACCAAACAGAAGTTATGAATTTGGTAAATTGATGTGTTGTGAGGTGGAGTCTTGATAACACTCAAAACAACAGGCCCATCAATGGGATAGAGAATTGAATCCAATACCCAATAGGCTTGTCAATATCGACCCATTTACTGAGAAGAATTTTAAGAAGTATTATTATTATTAAATATTCTGACTGAATTTAATTTAAAAAGTGAATTCATCTAATTCAGTTTTAAAAATGAATTTAAGATACCAGCGATTTGGTTCTAGTTTGTATTTCTCAACTTATTTTATTCCAAGAAAAAAATTATTGAAGGCACTAAAATTATGTATAAACTGCAACTAATTAAATTTGATTTGTTGAAAATAATTACCACCCACTCATGTATATATACATATACGGACAGAAGATTTTATAACACGATAAAAAATTTAAATTTTTATAATTTTATGGGTGAACCTAAATTTATAAAATTTTAGGAACGAAAATAAATTTTTAATAAAAAAACAGATAGAAAAAATCTAAAATATATAATAATTTAAAATTTGTAGTGATAATTGTCTCACCCCCTCCCTCGATCTATCTCTCTATATATTTATAAATTTTGATTTTAAATTTTCGTTATGCTAAGCCTTTCTAAAGTAAAATTATGTGGTATGTAGGGTAAATATTTAATTCTCATATATCTATAATTTACAGTATTTATATAATATATAAATCTATATCGTCGGATGTCCCGAAGGGACAAATCTATAATCTATATCTATATTTATATAAGTATATTTTGAAAGAAATTTTTAGACATGCATAAATAAAAATTTTATAACATTAAATTTAAATTACTACAGTAATATACAAATTAAAATTAGTAATTTTCAGTTGTTGAATATTATATTTCTAGTACTAGTAGCTTATCATTGGAGTGGACTTAGGGAGAGAAACTAGAGACAATAAGGTAGGGTAAGAAAAATTGAATTTTTCGCTTTGATTCAACTTGAATTGATTTTGAGTTGTAATTTCATTAACTCGACTTAAATCGAAAAAAAAATCAAATTCAAATCAAGTTATAAAATAAAACTCGAATAGTAACTTAAATAACTCAAATTTTTAGTAATTAACAGATTGATTTTCAAGTTTAAGTCGAATCATTTGACTCTACACGATATATGTATATCACTATATCATATATGAAAAAATATGAATAAATATACATGCATTGTATATGATTATAGAGAACCATTTAAATTGGATTCAAATAGTACTATAATATTATAAATATTTATAATTAAATTTAAATGTAATCTCGAATAAACCAACTCGACTAAGTTCGAAAAATTTTCAAGACAAATTCAAGTTATAAAATATAACTCGTCAACTCAAATAATTTAAAAAATTTATTTTGATTCGACTTAAACCGATCTAACGTTCACTAGTAAGGATTTGAGGGTGGAAAAGTACACTATGAAGTTGGAGAGAGAAAGAGAGGAAGAGGGCAAGAGAGAGAGAGAGAGTGGAAATACTCACGTGCGTCAGTCTTAATATACGAATAAAAAAATGCGTTATTGGTTTTGTTATTGTTTAAATAACAAAATCGGTAAAAAATGACCACAAACGTTATTAGACACTACTAGTTTTGTTATTATTGGGCGTTTTACCAAATTTGGAAAAAATGGCCGGAAACATTATTAGGTGCTACCAGTTTTATTATTGTTGGACACTTTTATCGGAAATGTTAAAAAAAATGATGTTTTAGGTAAAAATAACAATATTTTCGATCATTTTTTACCAATTTTATTATTTAAATAATAACAAAATCGATAATTTTTTTTAGCTGTATATTAAGATGCCGCACTGTAGAATTTTCCGGGAAGAATCAGAATTATGGTAAGGATTTGTGAGAAGAATGTTCGTGAGGTTTTGTGAAGAAAAAGTAATTTAAAATTTAAACTTTTTTATTTTTAATTATAATTAAACATTAATAAAAATATATTATTGTTATATATTAATAAAATAAGTCACATAATGTTTTTTTAGAAAATGGAGGGTGATAAAAAAATTTAGTATATAAATTTAATTATTAAATTTAAAAAAAATTCGTTTAGTGACCAAATTAAGATTAGGAAGAAAGTTGAGTAATAAATTTAGAAAATGAGAATTATGAAGGATTTGTCACAAGAACGTCCGTAAATTTTGGGAAGAAAGAGAAAGATATTGAGGAGTCGTTTGATTCACGGAATCTAATATTACATTTGGAAATAACATTACTAAATGTAACATTACTATGAGAATATTGTATTACTTTGTTTGGTTTGTTTAGTACGAGTGCAACATTATAGTATTTGGTTAGAAGAATATAGGATTACTTGAATGCATATTTTACTAAATTATCTTTGAGATATATATTTTTTTTTAAATTAAATTTTAATATTAAATTATAAATATTTGAATAAAATTTCATAGAGATATTTTAATCGTTATATTATCTAACTTTTGAGAAAAAAATACATTTATAATTAGTATATTAAACTTGTTTTTTTAAATAATTTTCAAAAGCATCATATTTATATATATAAATTATAATATAATATAAAAATAATAATATTATAATTTTGAGTGGATAAAGATATTATTTTTTAATTTATAAGATCTATTTTTAATAACTTAAAGTTAGATATTATTTTAAATAATTAAAATTTTACAATCATATTATTTTTCACCTCATAAAATTATAAAAATAATATATTGAATATTAAAAAATAATTTTAAATGCTCATATTTATTAATATTTTGCTAAATTAGACTCTTTGTATATTATTATTATATTTATAATTTTGAGTAAAGTATAAAAAATAAGAATTGAAAAGGATCATTATAAAAAGAATTCATTAATCTAGGAATATTTTTGTCGAAAGCGGTGGGAATGATCTAATACCTAAGAATTTGAAGATAATGACATTCCTACCATTTTAACCAAAAAAATACTACTATTGGGAAAAGATTACTCCCTAGTAATAATATTTTTGGTGAACCAAATGTGAAAATACAATTCTTGGTAATATTCTTTTCCGCGAACCAAAAGCCCCCTTGAGGTTTAAAATTTTGGAATTAGAGATTTAGAGTAAAATTTAAAATTTTATTTTTATTTTTATTTTTATTTTAAATTATAATTAAATATTAATAAAAATATATTATTGTTATATATTAATAAAATATGTCACATGATGATATTTAAAAAATGGAGGGGTGTTAAAAAAATTCAATGTATAAAATTTAATCATTAAATTTAAAGATTTTTAGTTTTAGTGACCAAAATAAGATTAGGAAGAAAGTTTAGTGAAAGAGTAAGCAGTTTATCCTTTTGTGTAACACAATCCTCTACCTCTCGCATCTTTAAACCGCAGGCAAACCCCATTCCCTAGCATTAGCTGTAAAAATGTAGGCGTTGGCAGAAATAGAGCGAGTCCAGACTCGAATCCTCGAACGCATATTGAAGCTAGAACTTACTCACCTGCCTCATAATGCTGAACCTATCACTTCTTCCTCTCCTCTCACCAAAGGCGATGCCAGGGCCGATGTCGAAGCTCGTCCAATGGCGTCAGCGACTTCATGTTCACGAGCGTCGCCTCCGACTATTATGACCGGCCTCTCGAGTCCCGCCGCGACGCCCTCGGCGCCGCCTCTGTCCATCATCTTTGCAAAACCATCGTTTTGGTTTGTCATTATACTATTTTACTTCAAATTGATAAATGATCAATTAGTTGCAATTTAGTAATTTTTTTCTTAAAAGCTACGAGTTTCTGATTTGATTTTGAGCATGAGATACTGAATCTCGGTAAATTTCTTTAATTCTCGTATTTCCTTGTCATTAGCTTTTTTATTCAAGAAATTAGCGATAAATGTTAGATTGAGAAGCAATTAAGTAGTGCATCTAGATTTTTCTTTTATAAAATAATAATGGATTCATTTCATTACAATGCCGAACTACATCATTGAAGAAAGATTATTTGAAGTAGTGAAGCAGCTGACATTAGAATGTGATATTGGTTGTTCAGAAGGAGAAAAAGCTGGTTGCTTTAGTTAAGGAGGGGAAATGCAAATGCATTTAAATGTACTAAAAATGGTTGTATTGTGCATTTGAAGAGCTAGTGACTTTACGTGTGGCTGTAATGTGAAATAGAGCTGGCATAACCAACTCGTGAAGGGCAATTTTGAGTTGATATTACCTGTTGTCATACACCTTGTTAGGATGATCATAGGGTTAAAGTTCTGATATGAACAGTGAACAATGGCCATTTCCCCCCTTTTGAAGTCATTTAGCATTCAACACCATATTTGTATGAACTGTAAAAATACATCAGTACCTGTCTTGGCTTTTTTCACGTTTGAATTTAAACATTTTCTGTTGTAAGGGGTTTCATGTGAATTGATGAAGATGGTTTTATTTTATGGGTGGTTGGGTGTCAGTTTTCAACATGACAGCCACTTACCTTCACTCCTTCCATTTTTACAGCGGCTTTTCATTTTCTATTGCAAAAGACCATAAGTTGATTTGTTCATTTTAATCTACCATACTATTTACTAAGTCTGCTTTGTCTGCTCAGGTGAATACTCAAGCCCCGCCCAATGTAATTGATTGTAGTGATTGGAACATTTAAACCCTTTCACATTGCAGTATACTGCTAGATTCAATGCTGAAACTGTAGAAAAATTTCTCAACACACTCAACAATGGCAAGATATCAAAGAAGAAATTTTACTGTATGCTTATTTGTTTGTAATCCTCTTTATGTTAAAAATGAAACCTTTAAAATTCAGGAATATTTCGTTGAAAAAATTATTAGATTATTCTAGCTTTTCTGAAATGTATATCTAAAGATCCAACATAAACATTTGACTATAATGAAGATTCGCAGCACATGCATGTAGGAGGCTAGCAGCCAAGAGATAACACTTGGTTGGTGTAAAGGTCCTGGCATATTTGAGTTTAGATGGTTTCAATGTTATATTCTGGTAGATTGGTGCCAG